CAGTGTTAGATGACATACGAATATACATCATTAGTGTGATTTTAAATTAATAAATAATATACTGTATTGTATTTTTAATGTAAAATATTATTTTGTATATTAGCATATAGCATATTGGGTATCCAAATAAAAAGTCAATTCAACTGCTATTGTGTGACATTTTATCAGAATTTTGATAAAAATGTAAGTATGAGAATGCTTTGCAAAAATGCAAATATGAGTTAAACGATAGCTCTTTAGACTTTGAAATCAAACATTGAATTCAAGAATATTATGTTAATCATAGACTTTAAAATAGAAGTCTCTCTCTCTCTCTCTCTCTATATATATATATATATATATTCTTTACGTTAAATATATGCACTGAACGGGAGTAACCAAGCACAGTATGTCTATTATCGTAATAAAACTTTAGGAATATTATACGCAAAATGTCACTAACTAGTAAGTTAATAATGAGTACTACTATACACTGGTTAGTACAGCACGTGAATTGATAACAAGTATTAGAAAAGTATGTCTAACTGTGTGTCACATCTAATTAAAACTTTCTTGCGTCAAATGCGACAAATTTTGATGACTTCCTTCGAGATACTATTTTATCATTTTTTGTGAACAATAATAATTATTATAGTTTTAATAAGAATCATATAAATTGCATAAAAATTGTATTGAGTTTACATTTATAATGAATGGCTTTAAGAGTTAAAAGTTTATTTAAATATGTAACATTCCTAAATTATTTTATAATTAAAGAGTTTTATGTTTGTTAATCAAATACTTTAATGTTTAACTCAGCATTTTCTTCAATGTAATACTATACTTACAGTTCACTGTAATCGCAAAGCATTAAAATGTTTTGAATTTAAAATAACATTATGTTGATGTTTCCAAAAAATAGTAAAAATAAACTTTTATCTCATATGAAAATGAGTTATTCTTCACATTCTTTGTATACTGTATATTATATTCTGTATATTCTGTAATATACATATAGAGCATAATAATGTCCTCTAAAATTTATAATTATCCTAAAAGTCGCAAATGAATACAATTCTATACTTTGTGTGAAAATTAAATACTCATTAATTTAAATGATAAATAAATTATTATTTGTGATGATTAATGAATAATATAATTAAATGTGTATAACACCAACAGGCCTTGAATTGTTGGCAAAAGTTGATGTGAAGGTTTAAAGTTTTGGGTTTTCAATGAAATGTTGGGAATTGAATGGAGAGGACAGAAATGGATGTAAGGATAGAAGGGATGGAAGGGATGGAAGGGATGGAAGGGCTGAGCAGATGGAGAGACAGACAGATAGAGGAAGAATTAATTCGTTTGACTGCATCGTTAAGCAAAGGATGGCTTATGTTATCATTGGTAGAGATGAGACGCTTAATGATGTGTTACCTAAGGGTTTATATGAGACTAACACTACTTATCTATTAATTGATCAGAGCTTCAAATGAGAAGACAAAACATATTATCAAACCTAACCATTCGCTACACATTCACCACTTGTTTTCATTGATATTTAGGACTTAAGAATATAAATTTTAAAAATGGATTTTTTGCACATTCACTGGTATTTGCAGCAGAAATTCAATTAAATTTTTCATTTTTCATGAGTTGTCACACAATAAAAAAGGAAAGTGTGAGTCCTTACAAAGAATTAGTTGACATAAAATTCAAAAATCGATGGCAAGTCCTATGAAAGCCATCACTTGTATGGAGAGAATGTGGGACTCAATGACTGTATGAATGAATGCAATGAATGTTTCCATTAGTTTTTAATGAGACACTGCTTTGGGATGAGAATAGACGGTGACGTGACATATGATAATTCAAGTATCGATTAATTGATTACCACTCAAATCCATCAACTCATCCAATAAATTGCACAATTATATAATGTTTCAGTTATACTTTTTACGACTTCTTATAAATGATTTGATTCATTATTATTCGCCTTACATTTAATACTACCAACACTTTTGTATGCCATTCCTATGTCAAATGTAAACTTATCAGATATTATATATACCTTATTAATAAAGCATATGATATAATACTATGATATAATCCATTATATAATCCATATAATCCATATCAATCAAATAATCAATTGTGAAGAAAGAGACACAAATTTATTTTAAGGTCCTATCTATCATGATTACCACAATTGTAGGCATAAAACATTCAATTTTCAAACAACCGATGGTTTGCTTTAGTAAATAAAACTCAATTTATTCCAAACGAAAGTCTATAAAAATATTGATTAAATTACAAAGGTGGTATAAAAGGACAATCTTATCNCACAATTGTAGGCATAAAACATTCAATTTTCAAACAACCGATGGTTTGCTTTAGTAAATAAAACTCAATTTATTCCAAACGAAAGTCTATAAAAATATTGATTAAATTACAAAGGTGGTATAAAAGGACAATCTTATCTACAATATATAATAAAATCGTGTTGTATTTATAAACTATACATGGATTAAGGAATAATTTTTTATTATGGAAAAATATTGGTATATAAAAAATTGAACAATTTGACATTATATTTGACTTTTAATACTGTATCTTATAACACTGACATCTTAATCCAATATTGGTGTTTCAAATTTTAAATTGAAATTAACAATTGGAAACTTTATTTTGAATTACCATTGAAATTGAAACCTTGTAAGTTCGAGATATTTCAGAACAATGTGTATAAATAGGGTAATTGTTATTGAAGTCAAAATAGAGATTAATTTGTATGTGTATTTGATATTGGATTATGAACATGTAAAACTTTTATGTAGTGTCAAGTTACTTAAAACCAATAAACGCATCTCTGTCAATGAATTATACTATTATATTATTGTATTATAAAATCAAGTTAAAAAATTTGCATTTTTCAAATAGAAAAGTCGATAATTTTTCTCAAAATTCTTTATACTGTTACCAATCATTGTATATTTCATGTGATATGAATCATATCATATGATGTTAAATATTAAAGTAACTTTAAACCTATTTACTCAAATATGTATTTATAATACAGTATTATAAAATGATTTTATTTGTATTGACAGAATTTAGTACAACTCACAAAAATCAAAGTATGCGGTTTTCTAATAGGATAATAGGAAAGTGAGTGAATGAATGAATGAATGAATGAATGAATGAATGAGTGAGTGAGAGAGAGAGAGAGAGAGAGAGAGANTCAAAGTATGCGGTTTTCTAATAGGATAATAGGAAAGTGAGTGAATGAATGAATGAATGAATGAATGAATGAATGAGTGAGTGAGAGAGAGAGAGAGAGAGAGAGAGAGAGAGAGAGAAGGGTTGGTAATATCGGGATAGCAGTGATATACAGTACTCTATTGTTTAACGCGTAACTGAACACCGATTTAATGATTTCTTGTTAGCTGTTGTTCACAAAATTTGGTCAATTCTTTTCAATAGTAAATTTAGTTTAAGACTTAAAGGTAGTGTTCACGCAATACTGGTCTACAGTATAGTATTCTGTATAAAACTATTGATAAAACTTAATTGAGAATCACTTTCACGAATTGAAGGCCAAAATTGCACTTTTGTTTATTAAGTTAAGTAAAAACATTCAATTAAATTAAATTATAGTTTCAATACCTGACACTACGTACAATCAATACACTCTTATCAATAATTATTTGTCTTATTTGCTAAATATTTAAATGGTTTTAGGTTTTACAATAATAACAAGTTAGAATTAAATTAATTTGTTGCTTTTTGGTATTCTTTATATTTTGTAACAAATTTAAGTAATGCATATTTTGATTAAGAAAATTGCTTTTAATTACTTGAAATTGTGAAATAAGTTTATTTTTAGTTTTTTGTTTGTTTGTATTTCGTAAGTGCATTGCAAAATAATATTATGATATATTTTATAAATTAAAAATGTTTATTAATGATATAATATGACAGTAGTTATATTTATGATAAAATCAAATCAATTATACATTTGATAATTAGTACAACAATGGCTTCATTAGCATAATGTAGTGCTTATCATAACTTTGATTACACTGTAATATGTGTACATTTTTTGTGAATACTATTTATATATATTAAGAGATTAATTTGATTGATTATAATTGTAGCGAAACTTGTATTTCATATAATGAAAGCTATTTTTCGTTTGTGTTGTTATACTACACATATAGTAGTGTAGTATTAGTTGACTATAAGTGAAGTAAATCGAGAGTTTGTGTAAGAGTTGTATCGACTCTTACTGTAAGAGTGAAGTGCATTGTATTGTGAATGTAATGATCGGTATATTCTGTATATTCTGTTCACTACAAGAGCACACATTATATGCCTAAACAAAGTGACCAAAAATTATTGAGAATCAGAGAGGAGAGAGAAAAGAGACTATTTTTACAACGATTTATTGCTATTTCAATAGTCTAATTAAGGCCTACAGGATACCAGTCCTTTCCATTTGCTTATAATTAAATTGATGTCAAGAGAGTGATTGAAACACAACTCTTTTAGCACACAATCGTATGAAAGAAAACACAAATTTCTTATTTATATCACATAAACACTAAAACATGTTTTATTTGTTTCTTTCTATATTTACCTCAATTTGGTTGATATCTCTTAAAGTTTGTTTGTTATATTTACTCTATAATTGTCTATTTAATGAGTAGATTTGGTACATTTTGCATCAATAAGTGTGACTGGTATTTTGTTATTTGATATACTGTACAATTACAGTTAACTGTAATATATAATATATTGAATAAATGAATGAATTATTAAAATTCCTATTTGTGAGACGAAAATAGTATGAAAAATGTATTGTTTGTATGTTTGGCACAAACGCTCATTAGAAGAGAATCTCATTTACAGCTGATATTCAAATATTTATGCATTCGTTGATCAAACAAATGAGTTGTGAATGTCTTAAGTGCAGTGAATGTCATTAAAAATAAATGCTTTTTGTTGGTCTCATCGAGTAATCGATGGTCTCATTTGAAAGCAATCCTCAAAAACAATTCAAACGTATTCAATGCAAACGTATAACTATATTGTGTGTAATTGTGATCAATAGGTAAGCAATATGTTTATCCTGAGTCTGGCGATCGCCGACTTAACGGTCGGCTTAATCGTAATGCCTATCAGTTCAGTGTACGTACTGTTGGGCGACTGGATATTAGGTCTGGTGGTGTGTCAGCTCTGGCTTGTCATCGATTACACGGCCAGCACTGCCTCCATATTCAATCTATTGATCCTCAGTTTGGATCGTTACTGGTCTATACGATCACCCCTTAAATACCTGTGCAAACGAACCAAAAAACGAGCGCTCGGTATGATTGGTATCGTTTGGATGATATCTGTCCTGTGGGTCATCCCTATCATAGGTATTGAGAGTATTTAATACATAAATGATTTGACACTAAAATGCTAACAAATATGTGATCGAAAGGGTGGCACATCTGGTATACCGATGGGGTTCGCAAACATCCGGACAATGTATGCGAAACCGAATTCAATGACTCCATTCTCTTCAAACTGACCACATCTGCGGCCAATTTCTTCATTCCTATGATACTAATGGTTGTCATCTATTATAAGATATTCTGTGAAATCAAAAGAAGGGGAAAGATAGACATCGGGAGGAGTGTGAGTGTCGGGTGCGCCGACCACTCCACAGGTTTGTCAAAGTCTTCACAAAGAAAACAACGCAAACTGTTAGACAGAAGTAATTATCTGCGATCAAAGGGTTGTGCCTCCTGTTCCTCATTCACAGCCAAACAAATGACAAGAATTACTTGCAATTCAAATGAACACACAGTGGAGAGTGAAAAGAGTTCACAAACAGACAGACAGAGAGATAGGAACAGTAGAGATAAGAGCTCTAGTGATGACTTTGAGTGTCCAAACAAACTCCAGTTGACTAATACGAGTCCTGTTGCCAGTGATAAGGCCAGTGCGGACGACAACTCTTCCGTCAAACACTACCAACAGTTGACTTTAATGAGTGTTAAGCCAGAAAAGCCGTCCCTAACGGCACTCGAGGATTACAGGGGCGTCAAAGTGGAAGTGGAGTACATTAACGGCGGATCCATTGTCAACATAGTTAACGCCAAAACATCCTCAGATTCCGCAGATTCTTCACTTCACACCAAACCGATAGACCAAATGTCAACCACTTTATCAACGACTAAGACATTAGACGCCAAATCTGATTCCGTTGTCTTCTCTTCCGGACACAAATCCAAACAAAAGTTCAATAAAAGTAAACATAAAAAGTGCAAAAATAGCGCAAAACACGTCAACAACAGCAACAATGGCGAAGACATGGGCGAAGAGGTGGACGAATTGAGTGACAAAAAGAGTCAATCAGTGAAATGGAAACTCAGACGAAATTCATCGAAAAAGTTAAACAATTTGGACGTGAATTGTGGTGACAAACGACAGTCCCGTCCGTCGATAGCCCTTCCGGCCAACGAGTTCTGCAGTGAGTGTCAGTGCACGGCAGCCATGGCTGTGGCCGCCACTCATCACATGAATGCGTTGCGCAGAGAGGAGTCCTCGCGGCTCAGGCAGGAGAAGAAGGCCGCCCGACAGCTGGGCGTCATTCTCGGCGCCTTCATCTTGTGTTGGATGCCGTATATCATCACTTTCATTGTCACCGCTTATTGCACGGACTGTGTCTCATCCACTGTCCATCAGGTCGCCATTTGGTTAGGTATGTCCTCCCAGTCCCCGTTCACTTGTTCTCGCTATTCGTTATCAATATTACAATTATTCTTCATTATAATTACCATTCAGTTATTCTCTTACTTTATATTCATTTCAATTAATTTATATATTGTTTTGACTGTTTTAAGGTATATCTAGAAATTAATGATTAAATTTTGGATCACTTATTAAATATTTTTAATGATTTAAGAAAATTTTAGAACAAAATAGCATTGAATTCTTGATACAAAATACCCTATAAGTTATAGGCTATAACAAAGTTGTATTTTGCCATCAAAGTGAGTTTTATAAATTTAGTGATGTATGAAATGTTAACATTTTGAACAATAAGCTAATATAAAGATCATTTTCATTAATACAAAAATGATAGACTGATATTTTATAAAATTTATAATACTCTAACCACAAATAGTTTATAAAAATCAAATATTATCTCACCAAGATATTACCAAGAGATTTTATTAAATTATATTTTTTAAATTGAATTATATTTTTATTATGAGTTTAGTTATCAGTTATACAATATTTTTAAATAATATTCTAACCCCTTTAAGTTAACAAAAATGCTTACTTTTTGTTATTATTGAAAAATTATTTCGTGTTTTTGTTGTCAAATATTTTTTATTGTTTTTATAATATATTGTATTTATAGATGAATGACAGAAAGAGGGAGAGAGAGAGAGAGGCATTTGTTCTATACAAATATGTATTAGTAGTGCATGACATGCTTTCAAACATAGCATTATATCGTAAAACTGTTTTATTCTCAATAATCCAAAATCAATATATTTTTTGGAATTTATATATTTTTTGTGAGCAAACCATGAGTGCATAGAATTGATTATAAGTTCCCATTATTTGGGAGTATTTGTAATTTTTCGTTAGTAACTTAAAAAGCTATTCAATGAGTTTTAGCACAATATTTGTTTTTTATTAACGCTCTGCTATTATGAATTATCTACATTATATATAATAAATAAAATAAATATGAAATTATTTTGCAGTAAATGATCCCTTACTTAAAACTCGTTTTTGATTTTCGTTAAAAAATATATTAATATTATATTAATAATATAGTATAATATATTTTTAAATTTATCAATAATGCAATTACAGTTGAAAAGAATAGAGTTAGGTCTTCTAAAAACAACAACAAAATAATAAGTTATTAAATTATGAGATAACTTGATTGATGATTATTTTCAAACCTTTACATTTAAGCTTGACTTTTATGAATAATTGAAAATTAATTTATTTTTACAAATGAGAGACGATTTATTAAAAAGGATACAATGAAACCCCATTTAAAGCTTTAAAATCACATGTAAAGTATACAGAGTTTAAAATCTTATCTTACTCACACGTTACAAATATATTACTATGAATGACTAAACTGCGATTGAAAAGCTTTTGCTTATAATTACTCACTCAATGAATTTTCATTGTACCCTATTTAATAAATCGTTATTCATCTTATCTTACTCACACATTACAAATATATTACTTTGAATGACTAAACTGCGATTAAAAAGCTTTTGCTTATAATTACTAAGCACTCAATGAATTTTCATTGTACCCTTTTTAATAAATCGTTATTCAAATATTCAAGCTTTAGATATTTTGATTTAGATCTATAAAATAGATTAAGAATCGGAAGTATTGCATAAATAATTTTAGTTAAAAGTTAGACTAGTTCTTATGAAATTGTTTGATATATTGTAGTTTTTATAAATTATTTTATATATTAAATTAGAAAAATTATTTTTTCAATGTATTTAAGATTAATATTTTAAATAATTATTTACAAATATACCGTAAAAGACACTTCTTTGCAATGCGTCTCTCATTCTAATAAAAGCAACAAATAAATTGAGACATATTTTATCAAGCAAATATTTGTCAATCCCAAATATCACCATTTTTATAGTTTAGTTTAAATTGTGTATTTATAAAAATATTTTAATATTATTACAAACACTGAGAAATCATGCAGACATTCATGTATTATTAATAATTGAGTATATTTTCTGTGAACACTTCTATAATCCAGTTTCTTTCTCGAGTACCCCTACATTTAATTTAATTTAATTATTTTAGATCAACACTTTAATAGTGTTACTTTAAAGAATATAATTTAGTTATTCATCAATAGTACTGTACATTACTATATTACAAAACTATTTGAGATAATTTTGAAATGCATTATATTTAATTCAAGATCAAATTTAATATAAAGGTAGATCATTTATAACTACAGATGGCTACATATTTTCTTTAATAAAGACTTTGGTAAAATTGAATCAATTTTTGCATTAAGTTTCATCTTACCAAATAATATACAGTAATACTAAATATAAATTCAATTCAATAGAAATCATACTTATTTCAAAATCTAAGTAAACACTTTTATAATATTAAAAATTGTGTGATACCCACATACACAATATAAGTTTTATTTATTGTAATTTTATGAGAATTTTTAAAGAATTTTAGTTATAAGTTATTTAATTAAAAAATATTGGTTTCTCTTAAATCAATTATATTAAAGTTAAATTTAAGTTATCGATAATTTTTATTTGTACATTAGATTTGTTAAATAGTGTACTTAACATTTATATATTTAGTTAAGAAAATTAAAATATTTTACACATTAATTTATTTAAAATTTTGTTACAAATGTTTAAAATAAATACTAATGTTTGAGAATTGAAATGAGTTTTAGATAGCTTTAGGAAATTTTGTATTTAATGTTTTTCCTGTTTTCCTATCGAATATTTTATGTAAATTAAGTTTTGTTTTTTATTTTGCAACAGAAATTTCAATTTGAATTTTTATTAAATGCTCAACATTTACAAATTTGTTCAAACTGTTTAGGCAATTTTGATAACGCAAAATAAAATATATGTAAAACACGAAATATTTACAGATTCAATTTAATTAGAATATCTTTTTTAATTTTGGTAATAATCAATAAATCACTTTTTTGTGAGCAAAATATAACTTTTTATATTAGGTAAAACATTGTAGGTATATTACGGGAAACTATTATTGCTTGACTTATCTATTACCGTAAATAAATTTTATAAAATGAAAATAAATAGTTTAATAATACATTCCGTTATTTTGAATATTATCCACTTTGGTAAAGTTTCAATTATATTATTTTATTGAACTAAATTTTCTATTATCTAAACTGGTAATTATTTCAATTACTTTTATTCTCATTATATCTCAGTTTTATCAAACGAAGACAATAAGTTATATAAATACAATTCAAATATTGACTTAATACTGAGTATCACAATAAAACTTTCTTTTAAAACAATAGATGTCAAAGTAACAAAAATCGCTAATTAATCACATAGTACAGTAAAGTAGAAGTGTATTATTTTTTTGACATATAAATACAATTACTCATACATTTTCAAAATAAATATCTCACAGAATTTGACTCTTTATTATTCAAAAGCAGAATATTTTTATTGAGTGAAAACTTTTCATTGGCCTCGCATTCATCCTTTAAGTACATATACTTGTAATATATTTAGTGAAAAAAGTGAACACAAAAGAAAACGAAATACATTGAGAGCTAAATATATATAATTTAAATAAATTGTTATTCCAATGTCTATAACTGTAATCCCGTTTGATTCACCGATTCACTGATTCATGATTCAGTGCATTGAAAGTAATCTCTTTTATGTTTTGTACGAACAGGTTATGTGAATAGTTTTCTGAACCCATTTCTGTACGCCTTATGCAACGAGAACTTCAAGCAGGCGTTCAAGAAGTTGTTGGGAAGAGTGAAACCACAGCAGCCCTCCTACAACTTCGACCTCACCCACGCCACCAGCTTTCGAGTCCACAAAAACAACTTCTCCTGATATCCCATTCCCTCCAAACCGCACACCACTCGCAACAATCACATCTATATCGCCATTTAATGTAACAAACAATTGATTTCTACATTTTATTTCTTCAAAATATATTACAGTATATAAAAAAGTAAATTTGTTTTATGATAGTTATGTCACCAAAGAAAACCATTATATTTAGTATTCAATGTACCAAATGTATGTATGGGTCAGTTAAACATAATCATGGTTATTTTGTTTTTATTTACATTCATCATCTTCATTTATGTTTATATTAAATCTATTGTGGTATTGATATTTTGGTTTCGATATATTATACATACATTAAGACTATTTTATGTTACGATAAGTTATTCTATTTGTAATGATTTTTTATATCTGAAAATTTAATGGACACAATCTTTTAAGTAAATCTGTTTAATGATATTCTAACACTTTCCTTTATGAGAATTATAGTTTAATATATTTTTATTTGTGAGTTAATCATATATTGGTTAACAAATTATAAAAGATTTTTATATATATATAGTTTTATTATTATTTAATTAAACTGAATAGTGTAAACATAAATACAGAGTTGTCAATCTGAGAGGCATTTGGACAATGTGAATTATTATTTCTTATTTCTTTTTCTAGGTTGTAGAGGGAGAGTTATGTTTTTGTATTATATACTGTATAATTTGTCCAGATTATAATTGTGGGAAAACTTTTATAATTGATTTTTTCAAGAATCAGGGGAAAATGTGTACCGTAATTTTGAAAAATTATTACATAGAAAATAATTATTACATACAGACAAAATTGATTAAAAAACTTTTTCTGCAAATATAATACAAATATGTAGTTAATAAACAAAGTTAAAATAAATAATCTATATACTAATGTTAATGAAAAACTTATAAGAAATGAAGTTGACATTTAATTATAACCTTTACGGTATTATATGAATCCTTTTACATCACTTAGAATTTTAACTTTTCTTATTAACTATATTACCATTATATAGATTAAGTGTTTATTATTTTTTAGTTTATATTTATAGACACTTAAAACGTTGTTTGAATGAAAAGTGTTTTAATAAAAATTTTAACTCCAATGTTTTCATGTAAACTTTTTGATATTTTAATATTCAATATTTAGAGTTTAATCAGATCTAATAAATTAAAACAGAATTACTAACAACTGTTGTCCAATAGTATTCAATCTTTTAACAAAATATTTATACAATGAATATATAAAGTTTTAAAATTTATACACTTTTTAACTGACAATTCCATACATTTGAGTGCTGATTATAATAAACACCATTATTTAGATACTATCATAAGAATTTCAACAAGGTATCAATATTTTA